TTACCGTGTCCGGGGCGGGGATTGGCGGTGAGGGGCGTGAGTGAGGCAGGGATTGGCTGTGAGGGGTGAGGCAGGGCGTGGCCGGCACTGAGGGAACCGCGGGTCCGGTCAGTCCCCTCTCCGCGCCGCAGCCGCCGGTGCCTCCCGGAGCAGCGGGTGAGACTCCCCTTCGCCTCTCTCATCCCCTCTCCTCGGGCCGCCTCAGTCCCCTGGGCGCTCGCTGGAGCCCCATCGCCGTGCTTCGCTCAGCCCCCGCTGCCCGCGGCCTTCCCGGCCCTCTCCCGCCGCCCGGCCCGTCCGTGGTGGGCTCGTCCCGAGCGGCCGCCGCCGCCGCCCGGGGAGGGTGGTCCAGGGCTGGGCCCGCTCTCTTGAGCTCCGCTCCCTCTGCCCCGCTCTCTTTTGCTCCGCTCCCTCTGCTCCGCTGCTACCGGGGCGCTCGGGAGCCGCCTGCGCCCGCCGGAGACCGGGGCTGAGTCCAGTCCCCCGGGACGGGCCCGTCCCCCTCAGCCTCCTCTTGCGGAGCCGCTCACGGAAGCCTCCGGGGGCGGGTTTTTTCCGAGTAGAACAGAACCCTTCTTTTAATTTAGTCTATTATCATGACGTACGAAAGTGACCTGTGCTTCAGAAACCCGCGGTGTAGTTTTTTGCCGTGTGCCGGGGAGGTGCTGGTGTGTGTCCCTGAGACTGCCACCCCTCCTGACTTGGAGAGGCAGCCGAAGCCGTGACACCTTGCAGACTGTATCAGGAATAAGAAATAGCGATTAAGCCAGGTACCTTTAACAGCTGTAATGGTCATTGGGGAAAAAGCCCACTTCTAGCTATACTCCTAAAGCTCTTTAGCCAGAGCTGGCCAAAAGTGAGACCTCTCGGTGTCTGTAGGGTTCCCGTGTGCCCGTTTGCTGTCAGGGGTTATTTGCTGTGTAAATAAATAAAAGTAAAGCTCCACTGTCTGAACCCATCGGATCCCTGCAAGAATTGTGTGTAGCTTTTCCTGCGGCAGGGGTGACTTTCTTGTGGTGTTTTGTTGGAAACGCTTGACAAGTGTGTGCAGTCGGAATAGTGGCAGCTGCAGGTGTTGGTGAGGTGGAGGAGTGTCTGGTGATGCTCAGGAGGCCGTGAGCCACAGCAGCCCAGGGCTATGGGTCCGTGCCACACACAGCCACTGTGGGGAGATCCAGCTGGAATTAAGGACTGGAATCTTGAACCTCTGCACTTCAGTTCCCCCTGGCTTGTTCTGAAGTCCTATGATAGCCTCATTTTTTGAGAGCCCGTGAGTAGCTCTGTGTTGCTTTTTTTGCATGCAGGTTTAAGAGCAGGCAGGAGCAGTGGCTGGGCTGTCACTGGGCTGGGTATCACCCTGCGTTACCCAGCCAATGTACCCCAGGCTGTTCTGCCAGAAGGCAATAGTAAATTGTCAGTGTTTTTCCCCAGAGTGCTGTACGTCTCTGCGTGTGTCATAGCAGTGCAGCATTCACAGGGGCTGTTGGAGAAATACTTCTGTGAATAAATTATTTGTGTGTTACTCTCTTAATACCCATAATGTCCTGCAAATGGTAGGGTTAATTGTCTGCCTTTTGCAAAATTTGGGGAAAAAAATCCAAAACGCCCTTCTCCCCTCCCAATTTAAATCAGAAATGAGGTGCTATTTAATCAGTTGCTTGACAGGTGGTTGTTTGATTTCTGTATTTTGAAGATGCAAAATAACTTATGAAGGCAATACAATATTGTTTGTTTGTTTGTTTGTTTTCAGATATTCTGATCGCCATGGCAGCCACAAGAAACGTGATGAGAGCTGTCAGAGTTTTTGAATTTGGTGGCCCTGAAGTGCTTAAACTCCAGTCAGACGTCTCAATTCCTCATCCAAAAGAAGATCAGGTATATATGAGTTCTGTGAACTGGAATAATGATACTGACTGATAATAGGTGCACTCAGAACAGAATGAATACAAACCAAAACTTGACATTGTGAATTACGTAGTTTTTGATCAGCGTATTCATACTGCCTGGGACATTACCTTTAACAAATGTGGGTTTTTCACTGTTTGGTGGGCTTTGTATTCCATATAAGGGATTTCCTGAAAATACTTCAGTTCAACACTGAATTTTTGCTGTTTAAGAATTTAGTTAAAATGCCATGATGGTGTGTTGTGAATTCAAGTTCTAAATCTTTGTAGTTATTGCTAAAGAAGCATCTTCTCTTTTAGGTGTTAATTAAAGTCCATGCCTGTGGGGTGAATCCTGTGGAGACATATATCCGTTCCGGGAATTACGCAAGGAAACCAGCCCTGCCCTACACTCCTGGCTCAGACGTGGCTGGGGTGGTAGAGGGTGTTGGGGAGCGTGTGACTGCCTTCAAGGTATTTATGCATTGGGGTTTAGTTCATTATGGTTTATTGTATCCTCTTTGTTTGATTGCTGTACTACTGTTTCTGGTTTTATTGCTCACAGTTGTGTAATCTCTTTGGGGGGAAATCCCCTTCATTGAAGGGTAGAAGCCCCCAGCAGGATCCGTGCTGGGTTAAGGGTTAACCCTCCAAGGGTTGAGAGGGCTCAGAAGAGGCGCTTCAGTTTCTCTGGTTAAAGTGATGACGTCAGGTGTACAGAAGTTGTGGTTCAGGACTATTTTTATGGCATTGCAGAAGTACCTGAAGTTGGATGTTCCTGTCTGAGGTAGTAATTTCATGCAGAACTGAAGAATTTTCTGTAAATTTTTTGGGAAATGAAAATAGTTTTTATGTTACTGACTTATAAAACCCCCTAAATTACATATTTGTCATTAAAACTGTCCAAATAGACTTTATTACTCCTGTCTTGTAATTTTACTTAGATATTCCCAGGGGGAAAGTCTTGGGACAGGAGAAGGCAATTATCAGTTTGCTAAAAAATATCTATGAAATTTATTTATTTTTTTAATCTGTTCTTCCTTTCACGTCACTGGACTGCTGGTCTCAGACAAATGTAAAAAACGTTTCCTGGCTTGGGATTTATGTAATTTATGTTGTGGGAGAGACAAGAAACCAGTGTGCAGGCAGTGGGACAGCCGGAGCTGGGTGGCTGTGGGTGCGGGGACACACGGACAGCGCGGTGGCTGTGGGTGCTGGCAGGGACACAGGGACAGTGCGGTGGCTGGGGGTGCGGGGACACACGGACAGTGCGGTGGCTCTGGGTGCGGGGACACAGGGACAGGGCGGTGGCTGTGGGTGCTGGCAGGGACACAGGGACAGTGCGGTGGCTGGGGGTGCGGGGACACACGGACAGTGCGGTGGCTCTGGGTGCGGGGACACAGGGACAGGGCGGTGGCTGTGGGTGCTGGCAGGGACACAGGGACAGTGCGGTGGCTGGGGGTGCGGGGACACACGGACAGTGCGGTGGCTCTGGGTGCGGGGACACAGGGACAGGGCGGTGGCTGTGGGTGCTGGCAGGGACACAGGGACAGTGCGGTGGCTGGGGGTGCGGGGACACACGGACAGTGCGGTGGCTCTGGGTGCGGGGACACAGGGACAGGGCGGTGGCTGTGGGTGCTGGCAGGGACACAGGGACAGTGCGGTGGCTGGGGGTGCGGGGACACACGGACAGTGCGGTGGCTCTGGGTGCGGGGACACAGGGACAGGGCGGTGGCTGTGGGTGCTGGCAGGGACACAGGGACAGTGCGGTGGCTGGGGGTGCGGGGACACACGGACAGTGCGGTGGCTCTGGGTGCGGGGACACAGGGACAGGGCGGTGGCTGTGGGTGCTGGCAGGGACACAGGGACAGTGCGGTGGCTGGGGGTGCGGGGACACACGGACAGTGCGGTGGCTCTGGGTGCGGGGACACAGGGACAGGGCGGTGGCTGTGGGTGCTGGCAGGGACACAGGGACAGTGCGGTGGCTGGGGGTGCGGGGACACACGGACAGTGCGGTGGCTCTGGGTGCGGGGACACAGGGACAGGGCGGTGGCTGTGGGTGCTGGCAGGGACACAGGGACAGTGCGGTGGCTGGGGGTGCGGGGACACACGGACAGTGCGGTGGCTCTGGGTGCGGGGACACAGGGACAGGGCGGTGGCTGTGGGTGCTGGCAGGGACACAGGGACAGTGCGGTGGCTGGGGGTGCGGGGACACACGGACAGTGCGGTGGCTCTGGGTGCGGGGACACAGGGACAGGGCGGTGGCTGTGGGTGCTGGCAGGGACACAGGGACAGTGCGGTGGCTGGGGGTGCGGGGACACACGGACAGTGCGGTGGCTCTGGGTGCGGGGACACAGGGACAGGGCGGTGGCTGTGGGTGCTGGCAGGGACACAGGGACAGTGCGGTGGCTGGGGGTGCGGGGACACACGGACAGTGCGGTGGCTCTGGGTGCGGGGACACAGGGACAGGGCGGTGGCTGTGGGTGCTGGCAGGGACACAGGGACAGTGCGGTGGCTGGGGGTGCGGGGACACACGGACAGTGCGGTGGCTCTGGGTGCGGGGACACAGGGACAGGGCGGTGGCTGTGGGTGCTGGCAGGGACACAGGGACAGTGCGGTGGCTGGGGGTGCGGGGACACACGGACAGTGCGGTGGCTCTGGGTGCGGGGACACAGGGACAGGGCGGTGGCTGTGGGTGCTGGCAGGGACACAGGGACAGTGCGGTGGCTGGGGGTGCGGGGACACACGGACAGTGCGGTGGCTCTGGGTGCGGGGACACAGGGACAGGGCGGTGGCTGTGGGTGCTGGCAGGGACACAGGGACAGTGCGGTGGCTGGGGGTGCGGGGACACACGGACAGTGCGGTGGCTCTGGGTGCGGGGACACAGGGACAGGGCGGTGGCTGTGGGTGCTGGCAGGGACACAGGGACAGTGCGGTGGCTGGGGGTGCGGGGACACACGGACAGTGCGGTGGCTCTGGGTGCGGGGACACAGGGACAGTGCGGGGGCTGTGGGTGCGGGGACACACGGACAGTGCGGTTCCTCCGGCACCGCCTGAACCGCGCCTTGAGCATCCCCTGCTGGAGAGCAGCAGCGGTATTTACTGACCTTAGGGGGTGTCTCTCTTTTCCACGTTTGAACAAAAATCATTGAGAAATGTTTCTTTTGGGTTTGTAAAAGCTTTTGAGGTTTTGCATTTGGGATCTGTGGGTGGAATTCTTCAGTGTTCGGGTTCATTAAGGCTAATTAAGGTTTGTGTGTTACACTGGAGAGTGGGGGTTATAGTTACGACACTTAAATCTAAGCATATGAAATCGTATGGTTTGTGTTGCATTGTTTGAATGTATTAGCATTTATAAAGTCTTCTCTCTGATAAATATAAGTAGAGATCTATTAGAGACAGCCTAAACCCTGTGAAGAGATTCTTAATGTATATTCAGGAAAAAATAAGGGAGATGATTAATTTCTCAATTTTCTTTCCCTCCTTTCTAGAAAGGTGACAGGGTTTTTACCACTGCCACGATCTCTGGAGGATATGCAGATTATGCAGTTGCTGCCGCTAACAGAGTCTTCCTGTTGTCAGATAAACTGGACTTCAGGCAGGGAGCAGCCATTGGAGTACCCTATTTCACTGCCTATCGCGCCCTCTTCCAAAAGTAAGGGGCCAAATCTAAGTTTGTGCATTTTCCTTTTGAATATTTAAAATTTTGAAGCTCATGTTTTCATTGTCCTGTAAAATGGGGGATTCTGGCATTTTTAGAACTCCATGTCAGCTGGGCGAGGGCTCAGGCTGGAAATCTGGTGTCGTTTGGCAGAGGAAATGGTGAAATCTGGTGTCGTTTGGCAGAGGAAATGATGAGAGCCATTGTGCTTTATTTTAAGACCTGTGACAGGTGAAGATCTTGAACTGAGGTTCAGCACCAGACCGTTCCCTGCTGCTAGTTGTGTGTTGACATAGTTGCACGTTACTAAAATTCATAAATGATATGGTTTATTTTGCCTGCTGATTATACCTGTTAAGCCATAAATTGGAAATACCACTGTGTGAAAGATGAGTTTTCATGCCAGTATATGCACCTGATGCTTCGTGATTAAGTCCCGCGCTCCTGGTGACAATAATTCCTGTGTTTCCATGCAGGGGCCGTGCCAAAGCCGGGGAGAGCGTGCTCGTGCACGGGGCCAGTGGGGGAGTAAGTATTTTGAGAAGGCAAGTTGTAAGAAATGCTGATTTCTGTCCTTGGGTCTGCTTTAGTCTGTCACGTCATTTACGATTGCGTTTGCATCAATGACTGGATTAACAAAATTAATGAAATTTTATTTTGGAGACTTTAGGGTACTTTTTGCTTAGAACAAACCCTGTTATATTTGAATCTTGTCAAATATATATGGCCCAACTTTCACAGACAGACAACATTCTATATGGATTTATCTCAAATGCTGATAGCTATTAAAAAAAAAACGCAAAACTTTACTATGCCTGTAAATATATTTTCTTTTTTAAAGACTATTTGGCTATCTTTAAGATCTAAATTACTTACGGCTCAAAAAATGTTTACCAGGCCAACTTCTTAAATGGGTAAGTTCTAAGTTGCTTGTAGAATATATAAAGCTCAAAATGCTAAGAAAGAAAGAGAAAAAAGATATTTTTTTTCTATTTCTTTTCCCCTCCCAGGTGGGAATAGCAGCATGTCAGATTGCCAGAGCTTGTGGCTTAAAGGTTCTGGGTACCGCAGGAACCGAGGAAGGCATGAACGTGGTTCTGAGAAATGGTGCTCACCAAGCATTTAATCACAGGGAAGCTAATTACATAGATAAAATTAAGGTAAGCACATGTATCAGGGCTAGTTGATGCAGTATGTATTTTTCTTACAGAATGTGAGCAGTTGTTTGCAGAGGTTTTTTAAAGCAGATTTGTGAAGGAGCAATAGTGTCCTGCCTTTTTCATTTCCACACGGCAAAAAACTTTTCCAGGCTGGAGAAGCTGAGCTTTCACAGGCAATGGCATTCAGAGCCTCTTGCATCCCAGCAAGTTCCAATCACAGAATCTTCCAGAATCTTCTAGGTTGGAAGGGACCTTAAAGATCATCTTGTCCAACCATCAAATGGCAAATCTGGTAGCATATCGCAATTCAGCATGTCAAATATGCTAAAATTAAACTTACTAGCTGTCAGAATTAGCACAAAGGCTGTATTTAAAATTTAAACAATAAACTGTAAAATGTGTTATCTGCAGCATATGGCTAAACAGTGGCCCCCAGTCACTAATTGGGGTGATTTAAATAACGTGTTCTGTCCTGCCCAGGAGTCCACGGGGATGGGAGGAGTGGATATAATAATAGAGATGCTCTCTAACGTCAACCTGGCTGCTGACCTGCAGCTGCTCTCCCCTGGAGGGAGGGTGATGGTGAGTGGCTTTTGTCACCGGCTTCAGCGGGTGCGTTTGGCGACGCTGTTCAGCAGTGACAACTTAATTGTCTTTCACCTCGTTTGTGCCAGGTCGTGGGCAGTAGAGGTCCCATCGAGATAAATCCAAGAGACACTATGAGTAAAGAATCCAGCATAATTGGAGTCAGTCTGTTTCTTGCAACGGAGGTGAGAAACATTTTTATTTTAAAGAATGTTTTTTTTGGTTTATTCCAACACCTCTCTATTCCAGTTAAAACCATTTGTAGGGATGAAAGCACGGTTTCACCGTAACTGCCTGGTTTGTTCATTCCTTTACATTTTGATTTAATCTCAGAACATCATAAAATATTTCTGGGTTGTGAAATTTGGTTTAACACTTGCATAATACCTTTCTGAAATGTAAAGACCCTGTGGTAAGTGCCGTGTCTGTCCCATGCAGGAGGAGAGGCAGGAGTGTGCAGCAGTGCTCCTGGACGGGGCAGAAGCTGGCTGGCTGAGGCCCACTGTGGGCTCCGAGTACCCCCTGGAGAAGGTCGTTCAGGCTCACGAGGACATCATTCACTGCAGTGGTGCTCGGGGCAAGATGGTGCTCCTGCCCTGACCTCCTCGCCCGCTTGTCTTGTAACTTTGCTTACGTGATTCGTGGAGTGTGTGTTATAAAACATACTTTTGATCAGGTTGGACAGTAACAGCAAATGCTAACTCACATTAATTAATTACATTAATTAATTAATTAAGAACGTATTTTCTTTTTTAATCAAAGTATACTTTGGGTATACTTTCAGGTAATTTTTGTGGCCTTTTTGGCTGACATGTGAATAATAAACTTTCCCTGCTGCGTGGGGCTGCAGGGCAGGGGAGCGGGGACCCGAGGCAGAGCTGGCACCGTGGGGGTGTGGGGCTGGGGCCAGCCCGGCTCCTGCGGCAGGGACACACCTGTGGGGGGGAACTAGGTGTGTGTAACTAGGGCTCTGGACATTCTCCAGCCACACAATGTGTCTTATTCATCTCTTGTCATGTAATTTACTTGGAATAAAAGCTTTTACTGCCAAACTAGTTCACTTTCCAGCTCCAAAGATGCCAAAGAATCCCTTGAATATGAAGCGTGTGGAAGGGAGGTTTGGTTTCGCTGTGCCTGACTCAGTGCTTGAGGGGAGAGTTTCCTGGTTAATCCAAATGGACTGTAACTCTAAAGCTGGGTGCTGTATCTGCTGCTTTGTGCTGATCCATTGCCAGAGGCAGCTGGTTCCTGGGTAGGTGGCTGGGTATCGAGGGTTTCACTTCTTCCTGGGACCTTTCTTAAAGGTGAAGTCACCTGAACCTGGGCTACGAGGGGACAAGGGGAGGCTGCACTGCTTTTGTGGGTACTGAGAATCCACATTAGTTCAGAAATGAATGTGTACACGTTAGTGATTTGTTCCGAATACAATCCAATTAAGAAAGGGCAATTTCTTTCATATATTGACAGTTTTTACACTCAAAAATACTGTTTGGTGTTACAGGCACTCCCTTTTAATGATACAATTCTCTAATGAGCAGTGAAGGTATCACTTGCAGAAGAGTTTTCTCACCTTCAGGGATGAGCATTTCTGTTCCTTTGAGGAAAAGTGAGTCCTTGCTGAACAGGAGATTTTTAGAAGTATTTTTGCCTGTGAAGGTTACTTGCTTTTTAACTTTTGGTCAGGTCTTGAGCTCCATCTTCCAAAGCAGGTAGACCAGAGTACGGCTGCTTCTGCGCAAATGGAAACCTGAGGTCGTGCTGCTGCTACACCCTGTCATTTCATTGTTTCCAGTTCTTATAAACCTTAAATCCATTGCATCGAAGGGGTTGTTTTGCCAGGGAGGAAGCCTGAGTGTTTGGGGAGTTGATGACTGCAGTGAGTGCCTCAGAAGAGAAGAGAAGGACTGGGTGGACTCGGCTGTGGTGACCATTAACAGGGTCCCCCCGGCACGGACGACCCTTCATCCCCAGGCTGGGCAGATGTTCCCCCTCCTTGTCCCCTGGCATGGAGGACCCTTCATACCCAGGCTGTGTGGGTTTCTCCATGGAGAGGAGCTGGGTTCCTTCTGCGTTGCATTTTCTGTAGGAGCAGGGAGTTGCATTTCTCTGTCTTCTCGAATTTGGAGGTTTAGGAATGGCTGAGCTGGCGTGAGCAGGTGACAGGTGGTGTTTCCCTGGTTACTCAGGTAAGAGATGCTGCTTATTGCTCTTCGTTGAGGCAGGGTGCAGCCTGAGGCCACGATGGCACAAAGGGAATCTGCAACTCCACCTGACAACACTGTCAGTAAAACATCTCTTAAGGTACTAAATAGCAGGTTTACAGTAACGGTTAATGATGGATATGATTATGGAGATGATGTGCATATGAAAGGTATGCCTTTCTTTATAAACTGTATAGGTTTTTAAGTATTTAATTCTTTTTAATGTGGGCTGTGGTCAGAGGGTGTGCCATGAGTGTGGGCGCTGCGCAGTGTGTCACGGGGCCTCTCACCAGAAGGTGTCAGAGGAGCTCTGCTGTTCATCACGCTGCTTCTCCCTGCAGGGGAACCCAGCAGCAAGGACAGCCTGACACACTGCTGTGTGGAGGGATGCAATGCAACAGCGGCTGCTTTGGTGCATTTTTGATGTATCGTGGGAATGGAAGGGGCTGTTTTAATTTTGGAAAAAGCTGTGTGAGTAAAGATAGTGCTGTGGCACTGGACAGCAAGTGTGGGAGGAGTGAGGAACCACAGGGGGAGGACCACGGACAACGGAATGGGGCAGGATGACCCTGTCAGGTTTTTGGTTTTGAGTAGCTTGTCCTGGTTTGATCAGACTGGGGTCTGAAGCAGCAGCTCTGGTGGCAGTCTGGGTGGTGGGACAGGTCGTGTGGGCTCTGGGGTTGGTGCTGGCCTTGGGGTGCACAGGTGAGGTTTGGGGTTCGTTGTGTGGGTGTGAGCACGTGGCAGGGGCTGGACACGGCTCCTGTGTGTGTCCCCCACACCGAAAAGCGTGGAATGGTTCTGAGCAGCAGCTGCTATTTATTAATCTCATTGTGCCCAGAATAAATGCCACCTACACTTTCTAGTTGTTAAAGGGGTCCCCTCTCCATTGTGATTACATGCTCCTGTGTGTGTTCCTGACTTCTTTGTGTGCTACAGCGGGATACAATAAACTAATGAAACTTTAATTGCAGGGCTGGCAAGACAAAACATGGAGAGGCTCTTGATGTTTGTGGTAGCTGCTTCCTTTACCAAAGACAATTCCGTACTGAGGGTGGGTAGATCATGGGGACGGTGTAAGTCCTTCAGCACTTGGGATCAGCTGTGTCAGGGTGGGATGGTGTCCCTGCCCTCGGCCACCCTGGGGACCTGTGCCCCGTTGGGGTGTGCCCTGGGCCCCCAGAGCATCCCCGGGGGTTTGTGCTGCAGCTGAACCCGCAGGCAGGGAGCAGCAGGAGCAGTGGAGGGTGGTTGTGTCTCCTTTGCTTGAGTAAAGGTGGAGATGGCCGGACCGTGTGCTTTGGGGCTTTGCTGTCACCTCTGTCACCTGTGCAGGGGGAATGGGGCGGGGATGGACACTGGAAACCGCGCTGTGTCCGCCCACCGCCCGCGGGGTTTCCCCCGGGGGTCTGTGCCGCCTCAAAACGCCTTCTCCCCCTCCCGTCCTCCCCGGCCCCACAGCCCGGCGTTGCCGGGGGCGCCCACCCGCCCGTGCCGCTGCGGGGCCGGGGGCTCGGTGCGGGGGCTGCGGTGGGCGGCCGGGCCGG